AATCCTAGGCAGATTGTCCAGTCTCCTTTTCCAATGCTTTGTTTCAACCCTTACATGTTCCTTTAAAAACTTAAGTGCTTTCCTAAAAGCACAGGACTGGAAGAAGCCTTCGCATAGACTGAGTCCTGTACTCTGCTACTGTAGGCAAAAGCCTAATCTCCTTTATTGGTTTTTCTATACCTATCCTAGCAACAGTTAGGTCTTTTGCCATCACTGCTTGGAAGGTGGATTCATATCAGCACTTTCAATAACGCTAGAAATGTAGTATGATTTCTTAGGGCAAAGAAAAGGCCAGCAATTCCCTAGAATGTTTAGTATTGTATGTGCTCAATGGAGTTATAATGCATCGCGTCCTGTGCACCCTGCAATGATGCCTGGTTCACTTGGAGTTTCAGAAATGGTCATGCCAGATAAAGGAATGTGGCTCTCCAGGCATAGCAAATTGTGCTGTAATCAAATATTTGCCATCAAGTATTGTCTACTTTCTATTGCTCTGATAGTCCATCTGCAAGCACATCTCCATAGCGTATGTGAAGATGAATGCTGGAGAAGACCTCTATATATAGAGCATATGCCTGCTCCTCAGTAAAATGGATGGAGGATCAGACATTTAAAAAAATGACTCACTGTGACTCACTACAGTGTATCAGTAATAAAATCTATCTAAATTTGGTAAGGAACTCTAGGAACTAATTCCCCTAGTTATTTACCCATTTATTTTTTCTAGATGTTTGTCCCTTGCCTCTATTGTAATTATGTACTGTATGTTTTAGGGACTACAGAGATAAGATTTCAGTAATGACTGTTGTATGGTATTCTAGATGAAGGACTTCTGCTCTTGGAATTTTGATTGGTATCATATTTTCAGTCATCTCCTTCAAAAACTGTAATGAAATTAGGAATAACAGAAGCTCTTAGAATGCTTTGGATTTTAGTGGTCTTGTGTGAGAAAATGTGAAAAAATTAATAAAAGTGTCAATAGCACGTACTGAATTTAAATCACCAAACCTGGCTTCAGTTGGGGAGAGGTCACATTTACTATAAATCACATATTTGCTTCTCCAAAAATTGCAGTTACTCAAAATTTCTTGTCTAAGACATTAATAAATAACAACATTGCTAGCCGCATGATGGTCTTTCTGTGGCAGTGTCTTTCTAAGAACTTTGATGATCTTCCGGGCCAGAGACTGACTGGCCTTTGTTTTGTTATTTGCAGTAGTGAACCAAAAACATTAGAGTGAATGAAAATGGAAATTTTAAAGCGTAATTAAGTGATCTTAAAAAAAAAATAAATATTGGCTGTTGTTTTTTCAGTTAGAATAATACAGATGTTTCCTTTGGCACCAGACAAGGCCTTTTCCAAATAGAGCATCTGTGAAGATAAGAAGTCAAGGGAAGTAACTGAGGTTCATAAACTATAATTTATGTTTGCACAACATTTTTAATTGAGAAATGTCATCCATTATTTCATCTTTTATTAGTCCGTAGTACTGGAAGTGAATGCACAGATTTATCTCCCAGGTGCAAGTTAACAAAATTTTCTCTTTTAATTTTATACCTAAACAAGTTTTTTAAGATTGAAGATAACAAATCCTCACATATCCTTAATTTGTGATGAAAATAATTTTTAAGGGTTTTATTTTTTGCTGGTTCTGCTCTATTTGCAGCATTATAGTATGCAGTCAGTTCTTGGGGAGAGTTTCTAGCACCTTTAGGATTAATTAAATTTAATTCCTGAAAATCCTGACAACCCTGGTTCAAAAGCTCATTGAACTTCATGGACAGCGTCCTGTTTGGGGGCGATATAATGGCCTTTACATTGTACTTAATGTATTAGGCCAGGAGTTCCTTGAGGTTTTATTCATGGGAGATCATTCCATGTAAGAGATAGCAGTTTAGAATCTGATTAATATCTGTGATACAAATTTTTTCTAGAGTAGAACAAACGCATTTGCCATTTTTATAGTGTTTAAAAAACCACAAACAAACAACAAACCAACCAAACAATTGGGCAATATACAAAGGCTGTGTGGAACACAAATAGTCCACAGATAACTTTCTTTGGCATACCAACATTTTCATTCTTTCAGTACAAGATAAAACAGTTTAGTCCTTCAGTACCTGTGTGAAGATGCTAAGTAGGAAGCGGAGAACCATAAAGGCAGAAGTAAAAATGGGTCCCCTGTGAGTCGAAGCTGTTAGTGAAAGTAATGATATCTTTGCGTTTATGGGTTAGCAATAAAATTCCTCTTTGCAGAGTGGTAATTCAAGCTTACGTGTTATTTAAGTGTACTATCAATGGGGCATGTTTTCATATGCTTTACATTTTAGCCAACATAAAAGCCAAAAGCAATTTTAATTCTTAGGGTAATACTTCTTCCTTTCTTTATCTCTGCTTCAGTATGTTATGAAAAATGAAATAAAATTAAAATGGTAATATTCAAAGCAGCTGTGGACTCAGCACCTCTAGTTGGATGTTAAATATAAATGGTGGAAGCATCTTTAAAATGACCTCATAAATGATAACATTTACTCTGTGTTTAAAGAAGCTGAATTTTCAAATCACAAATTTGCTTCCTTATAAGCATGTTATCAGAAGACATATAAAATCATTGTCTCGCTTTCATTTGTGACTATAAAGCAGGAAGTTTATTTTGGAATTTACTAATTTGTATCTAATTGGGATGGAGGGAGGGATGCTCTGGTTAATCTTGTTTGCATTCAAAGGTACCTTTGGATTTTTTATCAAATCCAAACAAAAGACAGTTTGTACAGAATTTGAATCAAAAGGTATCTTCAAGTTTTAACAAGATTCCTATTTAAAATAGAAAAGAGAAAAACCACAGCAAGGTAACTATTGTCACTTTGCCCATAATTCGTATCATTAAGTCAGCCAGGTTGTCTAATCTATAAAATCATATGCTCGCCTCAAATCTTTGCCAGGCAGAACAGGACAATTTTAAGACAGATAGTAGCACCTTTGATGGTGTTAGTTAAAAAACATGTTATTTGAACTATTAGTTTTATCTTTTGTTCCTAAATTTTCTCTAGCAATTTATTCTGTATGATCTGTGAAATGTCCAACATGGGCACTGTCTAAGCATTAAAGGTCTGATTTTCAGTGGTGATAAGTACTTTTCACTCTATTAAAGGTTGGGATGGAGATTTTTCAGTGTTATCCTTGTGTTACTTAGAGGGTTTTCTTCACTTCTTCTGTAATACTGTTAGACATTACTGGCAAGTACAGTTACAACATTGCATTTTGCCTCAGGGTGGATGAAATGATTGTTTTGTGCATGGGAGTTACACCAAATAGAAAACAAAATTTTGACAAACCTGTGCTATTCCTGCTTAGACGGAAGGGACAGAGTCAAACTTCTACCAAAGTACAGCTGCTTGTATTAATATGTTGGGATATTTTATTTACTGCTCTTAAAAAAAAAAAAAACCAGCAGTGTGTGATATAATCCATCTAGTGATATGATACAATCCACCCCACTGGAGACAGGACTTGTGACTTGGAGTGCAGCTGCAAGGTCATAATCAAGCAGAAGCAAGTGTATTTCTGCAGAATTTCAATGGGATTCTTCTTAGCTGCTTAACAACAGAGAGGTGGTTTGTCACACTCATTTCTCCCCATAATCTTCATGTATGCACAAAGAAACAGTTTTCTTTTTAATCATTCAAGGATTGATGCTCCAGGCTGGCAAGCGCCACTGATGTACACGTTCTGAAGTTCTGACCCTTGACACTCTGTGAATAAATGTAGCACTCACTAAATAAGTGTAAGATCATCTTTTTTCAGCTGTCAAGTTTAGGTTTCGGGTATGCGTATTTACATCCTAATTCTGAAAATGAGTGCTGATTTTGTTGTGAAGTATGGTGGGTCTGTCTGCTCAGAGCTTGTAGGAGTGGGATCTTCAGGAGAATCAGTCCATCTCTGTAAACAGCAAAATATATTTTGGGAGAGTCTTCTCTTGCTCTCTCTCTTTTAAATGATTAATTATCTATTTAGATTTATGAGGAAGCATCATTAAAGCTGGATGTCCATTTAGTTAAAATAACACCCTACTGATTGACTATTTAATATATGTTTTCTTTGTATATGCCGTGTCTGTAAAGTAACTGGGGGGGAAATCTCCTTGTGTATGAATGTAAGTGTCCTATATATATCTGCATGTTTTTGAAATAAAACTAATTTGGAAAAAAGTTTTTAAGAAAAAGTCACTAACAGAAGGTACATGGTTATACAGCTAATTTCTGCTTCAAGCACTAGGATGACATGTCTTTTTCAGTTCTATACTGAGGTCTCAAGGGATACTGTATTTGTTAAATTTGATATTAATTAGAAATGAGAGAGCAGTTTGGTAGGTTTAGACTTGATTAGATTCTCCAGAAAAGCCCAGATAGCTCTAATGCGGAAAGAAGAGCCTGTAACTGCTTCGTATTCCTTCTGCACTCATTAGCAAGGCAACTTTCCTATGAAATTTCAAATTTTTAATAATTTGGGACTCTAACTTTTTTTTTCATGTCACGATTGATATGAGTATTCAAATTCAACCTGATAGCAGTGCATGCAACTTCATTTGAAGTCAGCAAGAGGTGATGATTTGACATAGAGTCTGACAGTCTCTGAGATTACAGTGGGGGAAATCATTGGAAGGAGTGTTGGATGGTCTGTACGGGGCCTCCTGTTTGCTGCTTCTGTAATGAAGTCCGGCGTTCCAGTGTACAGTATGATTTTATTGAAAGCATGCAATGCCTTCCAAAAAGGCCTGACGGTGAGAGATTGTGCATTTCCTGACAGCCATGACAAAACGATTCCAGCTGTTCTTGAGAGGCGCCTAATGCTGTGCTGAAAATTGCTGTTTTGTACATCTTCTTTAGGATTTAAATGTGATGATGTTTATTTTGCAGTATCGTTTAACTGGTTATTGTTAAATACTTGTTAGCGCAACACACTGTTTTGGTAATGCTGGTTTTGTTTGTAATCTTTTAAGGTTGTGCTGGTGAGATGGAACGAACCATTCCAGAAATTAGCAACCTGCGATGCAGATGGAGGAATATTTGTTTGGATACAATACGAAGGCAGATGGTCTGTGGAGCTTGTGAATGATCGTGGGGCACAGGTTGGTATGCATGTTTTCTCTGCAGTCGAGAGTGATCAAGTCCTGAGAAGCAAAATGAAGAGGACAATGAATGGTGCTTTATACCTTTCAAAAAGCACAGGAGAAAATGAAACATTTCTTTATTGAAAGGAATATGCAAGAATTGTCACAAAGACACTTTGCAAGGACAGTTGCTTTAGCCGATAGCTGTGACATCAGAGCTACAACTGGGCTAATAGGTGCCCCGTCTAGTTCTGTGCAGTGCTACCTTTTATTAAAACAACAAAAAAATCCTTCGTGGCCCATATATCTATTTTCTTGTCTTTGATATGTTAAGGTAAGCGACTTTACATGGAGCCATGATGGGACTCAAGCACTTATCTCCTATAGAGATGGATTTGTGCTGGTCGGTTCAGTCAGCGGACAAAGACACTGGTCTTCAGAAATAAACTTGGAGAGTCAGATCACCTGTGGCATATGGACTCCAGATGACCAACAGGTAACGGGGCTTTTAGAGGTATTAATTGTGTTGCATCGATATGCTATAGAATACAACTCTTAAAAAGTTGTTAAGTAAAACGGTCTCTTTGTGAGAACAGTTTCCGTCAAAACTGGTGCTCCCACAGATAACGAAAATTTAATTCATCCTATTGTTCTCATTAGGCAAATACAATAATGTACCAAGTTACCTATCATCACTTTTCACCTCGATTCACATGCAGTCTTATTCAAAGTTAGCTGTTTGAGACGAGAGTCTGTAATCATACCCCTAATTTGTTGATACAGCTATCTTGAAAATGCATTGGAGCAGAGGTACAGCCTGGACTAGTAAACATCTGACTGGTCATTTTTGTGCACAGCTGTCCAGTCTGCACTTGCAGCAAAAGCAGTTCCAGTGACAGTTATGGTTATGTTTGCCTTCGCTTGAGCAAATGCATCCAATTGATTGAGTGTCAGAGAGACACCTCAGCCTTATGCAAACAACATAATTTAAAAGAAGGCCATTTTTCCAACCGTTGAGTCAAAACTTGCTGAGCTTTGAAAAAAACAGTTGAATAATTCTTCTTTATTGTTTTTCTAAAGAAGCATATGATATTGGTCACATCACCATTCATAGCGGGGCTTGAGCTCACCCATTGGTTTCATGTGCAGAATTTACAATGGCCCTTTGCCATTCACTGTTGAGCTTACTGGAACAGTCTTTCCTTCCCCATGCTTGCTGTCGTTATGGTTAATGTGTGTATAATATAGTACTGAAAGAAATGATGGGGGTAGAATAGTGCAAAGAGAAACTGTGTTATGATCACAACTGGATTATCTTCCTTCATTTTACACCGCTATAAAAAGGTGCTGGTTCAAGACTCAAGGTACCACTGACTTTAATTTAGAATACTATAAATCCATTCAAGGTAGAGTTATTTTGGGAGTTGCTAATGGAATATAATAGCACTAATAATATGCATTTCTACAGCAGCATCTAATAATTTCAGAGCACTCTGCAAAGAATAATGAATTAATATTGCAACACTGCTCTTTAAAGCCAGGGAGTCTAACTTCCCTCTTTATGAATCTGGCAAAATGTAAATCTTGAAAATAAATAATTTACTCGAGATCAAGAGGAAAAGACAAGCAGCAGAAATAGGATGGGAAACTAAGATGTAATAGCTCTCAATCCTATGTTTTAAACATGAGGCTACCCCATTTGTGTGATACTCAGTTGTTGCTGCTGCATTTGGAAATATCTTCACTTGAGTGTTTAATTTGGGGTGACTGACTGCCTCCAATTCAGTTTAGCCAATATGTTTGTACTTTCTGATCTGGATGCTCCATAAGCGGTTATTCTGGGAAACAAACACTTGTTCAGTGTCCAGATAAGCACATTCGAACATAATGGCCAATTCCAGCTGTGTGAAAATCACTTGCTTGAGTTACAGGCTCTGCTGCTGACAAACTCACTGAAATAGAGACCAAAACCAGCCACGAGCTTGATGCTGCTCTGCACAGTTCTCCTAACTGTGGGGCTTTTGCATGTTAAGTGATGATGGATCTTTGTACTGTTCTCTGGAGTTCGTGGAAAGAAGCGATCTTCTAAAATGTATTTAGATGTATTTGCCTCTGGAGGCAAAAGGAAATATGATTCACTGAGGTACTAGGCGAGAGACTGTGCTCAGTTCAAACTAAAAATAGCAAATTGGGGGCGAAGGACATTGCATATATTACAGACAAAAAAGCACATATGGAAATGGATACCCTTACTAGCTTATCCCCTTATCTCATTTCTCTCCTGATTTGTATCTGTGCAAATGAGAACAGAATATTATTCTAATCTATTCAGCATCTTCCCTATTGACTAATGTAATCTACTTGTCAGTACAGTGAATGAAAGATAAATGCCAACATGTAAATTTATATTTTCATACTATTCTTTTTGTCACCCCTCTGGCACCCTGAAGATTGCTAGTGAAAGTATTCCTGGAAAACGTTACACTCTATGGTCCCATGACCTTTAACACAATTAACTTGGAAAGTTAAATTTCTAAGGGGAATGTATTGTTCAGTATCAGTTTTCTATTGTCCTGATAAAAATTTGCTCAATATAGCCTGTCTGTTTGCCTTACTCTTCAGTTCTCTTAACTTTCACCCTCAGCCTTCTGCTGCATACATCCTCCTCTTTTCTTCAAGTCTCATTTTCCATCTTTTCTCCTGTCTGTCTATTCAACACCAGTAGGCTCTCACCTCTGGCACTCCTCACCACGGCTCTGTAGCAGCTCTGCAAGAGGAGGGTAATTTCCCACCACCGTCTTTCTGTTGGGAGCAAGAAATGGTTGGAGCTACAGTATTGCCAACCATCTTCTTGTCTGACAGAGCGTGTGGCCTCTGAGTTTGTGTCCTTGCTGTGCGTTGAGACAGGCTTGTAAGTAAAGCACCTGAGGTAGTGGCTGATGCCACCTGTGGTTGAAACTCCATAGTTATCGCTTCCCAAATCCTTTGGGGAGCCTACAGATGGGATGAGAGCTAGAGATGGCCAGGGTGGGGTACAGTCCCGCTGAAATTGAGCATATAGTTGTGTCTTAACTGATTTGGTGCATACTTTGCCCTGATGAAGTTATTGGCTGATGTTATTAATACTAGATGCAACTGTTCTGCATTTTCTTTTAGGAAGAGAGCGGTGTCATTCTTCCTATGGTGGCTGTTTTTCAGGTTTTCTTGAGCTCTCCTTGTCTGTTGGGGACAAACTTACTGAGAGTCGAAGGACAGTTGATAGAATCTGGTTGACTGCAATGCTTTCTTTCTCAGCATCGTATGTCGTCAGATGATCTTCTTGTGAAGGTCATCAGCAGATTTTTACTGGGATTGGCACCCAGGTCTTGAGTCTAGACTTTGAGCTGTGGGCTTCTTCAGCTAATTCAATACATAGGCCTTCTGACTGTGATTCTGCATGTTTATTGTAGAGGACTAGGAGTTAATTTTCTCACTTCATTGTGCGTCTGTGGTCCTGCTCATTTAGGTGTTTGCTACTTATGTGCACTATAACCAGAGCACCCATCTGGCCAAGGCAGAGAGCCCTGTTATGCCAATGGCCTCTTGAGGATAATAAGCAAATACACACAATAGGAAGACTTCACAGGACTGGGTCCTCTGTATCTCAAGCAGAGTGCCACACTTGGGTTAAACTCAGATGGGTGGGATCGCTCAGGAGTGTGACCTTCCTTTCACTGTTTTGAAATGTTTTTTTTCAGGGCTACAAAAGGCTGTAGTAGAGCCTACTTCCTCAGGGTCGTGTGGAGTATTTTTCTGGTGTAAAAGCTCACCTAGGATCATGTAAGGATGAAAAGTATATTTGAAATGAAAGTAAATTTGAAGTATCAGAGAATGCTGTACCCTGTCTTGAGACAGTTCCGTGGTGTTGTACCACGCTTGTTTGCAAAGAGGGAGTGTACATACTGAGTAGATTGAATGACTTCCCAAGTGAGAAAAACTTGAGTTTTGTCTAGCCAAAGGGTTTATTTATAATTATAGAAGCAATGTCAATAAGTAATTAAGGATTTTTCCTAAGTCCACAAGTCATATAAAATATCTTTCCAGTGCTTCATCCCCCCTCCTGTGTGCTTGCTCCCCCCCTACTTGCTCAGTGACATTTTTCTGTCAACAACTGCTGCCCTTGGGCCATCCTCTCCCTCTCCCAGATTTTACCTATTAAAGAGGCTTATCTCTGTTCACGATGGAGAAAGGCACAGTGTCAGAGAGCTGGGTGAGAACTGTAGAGGGGTCTGATTATCCTCTTGTTTACAGCAATGTAGTGTAACGCCCTGGACTTCACTGAGGTTGTTTCTGTTGCTGTTTCTGTGTGTGAGAAGGAAATCAGAAGGAAATCGCTCTCCAACAGAGGGAAGCCTTGATGAAAATGAATGAATATATTAATTCCTGGATATCCCAGGAGGTGCTATTAATCTATATTTGTTCCCTGCATCTCAGCTAGTGTAAATTATTAGACTTTTCTGACAGCTGTAAGAGCCCATTTCTATTTTTCCACCCCTTCTTCCCTGTTGTAAGCTTTTATTTGTTGAAATTCAGGGACTGGCCAGGATTCTCTTTGGCCAGGACATGACAGACTACAGGTACGTGTGAACTGTGCCAGCGTGCTTCCTTCTGTCTGCTTTGAAAATAGGTATATGAGCAGTTAGCTAATTTGATTTGCATCCCGCCGGGTACAGCATTAACTATTTTATGTGGTCCCCTCGCAACGCAACATGCATTAGTACTGAGAATGTGTAAATACAGGCCCCAAGTTTCAGCCTGTTCTGTGTCTAATCATACAAAATTCTGCTCTCAGTGGAAGAGAAAAGCGGCACCACGCTAGGAACAGATACCATGCACACTGCAGGGTCTTACAAGACACTGGAAGAGAACGATGAGACCAGCAGCAGATGAAACTGCTTTGTCTCAAAACGCAGAGTGCGGGAGGTGTGTGCGTTGGGGTTTTTTAAAATCTTTTGTAGCTTGCAGTAGCTGCGCAGGGAGGCTGTTTCTATGCTGGTAGTCACTCCTGCTCCCAGTGCTCGCCATCCTGAGTCCCATGGCAACCACAGATGCTTCAGCATCTTCTTCCCTGACGGGCACGAGGCAGGGGCAGGCTTCAGCTCCTTCACCCTGCCTGCAGCACCCTGTCTGCAGCGCTTCAGCGTGGAGCCCGGGACCCAGAAAGGGGCTTCACGTGGAGGAGGGAATACTTTCTGGGTCCAGCAGTGTAGTCAGGAGGGACCTGTGTGCTCGTGCAGCATTGGTGCCTTAGGTCGCCCTGATGGGATCAGTGCCGTGCTGTGCCAAGGGGCTGCTGTGAGGTAGGAGCTATGGCACAATTCTCACCGGGAGGTAGGAGCTAATTAAGAAGAAGCGCTCTCAAATGTTTTACCCGTGGCACTCGTGAGATTGCCTCTCGGGCTCCTCGGTTTTGGTGTGGCTTTAGTCCCTGGCAGGAATTGTAACTAATAAATCCAT